CCATATGCAAAACAAATCTATACTCAGACCTTATACTTATCCCAAAAATCAACTCAAAACAGTTTGTAGACCTAAACTAAAAGTAAAATTATACAATTCCTAGAATATGGAAGAAACTTAAAAGTATGGGTTTGGTGATGACTTCTAGATACACACCAAAAGCACAATCTATATAAAGAAAAAACTTGCAAGTTGTATTTCATTAAAATTTAAAACTTGAACTGAGGTTGTAGCTCAGTGGTACAGTGCTTGCTAGCATGTGTGAAGCACTGGGTTCAATTCTCAGAACCATATATAAATAAGTAAAATAAATGTCCATTGACAACTAAAAAAATATTTTAAAAAATTTAAAACTGCTCTGCCAATCACTGGGAGAAAATACTGTAAAACACATATCAGATAGCAGACTAGTATCCAAAAAACTACTAAAATTGAATAATAGGGAAAAAAAACAACTTTAAAAATGGGCAAAAGATCTGAAGGGCTTACCAAAGAAGATATGCATATAGCAAATAAGCCTATGAAAAGATGTTCAACTTCTAATTCATTAGGGAATTGCAGTAGCAGAGGACTGTAATCCCGGTTACTTGGGAGGCTGAGATAGGAGGATCACAAATTCAAGGACAGTCTGGGTAACTTATAGAGATCCTGTCTTTTAAAGGGCTAGGGATGTAGTTCAGTGTTAGAGCACTTGCCTAGTATTTACCAGACCTTGGGTTCAATCCCTAGCACTGCCAAAATGATGAATGAATAAATAAAATTTTTAAAAAATTTAAAGGGCTAGGGATTTAGTTCAGTAGAAGAATGCTTGGCTAGAATGTGTGAGGCCCTTAATTTGATCCCTGGTACCACCACCCCCCAAAGAGGGGAGGGGAGAGATATTCTACTGCACAATTATTAAAAGGGCAAAAGTTCAGGTTGGACACCATTTGGTCCAATTATCCCACTCCTCAGAAAAAAAGACTTAAAATCTGCATAGTATACTAACAGCCACATCAGTGTTTATAACAGCTCAATTCACAATAGCTAAGCTATGGAACCAACCTAAATGCCCTTCAACAGATGAATGGATAAAGAAAATGTGGTACATCTATACAATGGAATTTTACTCAGCCATAAGAAGAATGAAATTATGGCATTTGCCAGTAAATGGATGGAACTGGAGACTATCATGCTAAGTGAAATAAACCAATCCCCTAAAACCCAAAGGCAGAATGTTTTCTCTGATATGTGGATGGTGACTGATAATAGGTTGGGGGGGGGGGCGGGGGATGGGAAAGACAGTAGAATGAATCGGACATAACATTGCTATGTTCATATATGAATACTCAACCAGTAAACTCCATATCATGTACAACCACAAAAACGGGAAGTTATAATCCATGTATGTATACTATGTCAAAATATATCCTACTGTCATGTCTAACTAAAAAGAATAAAAAATTTTTTTAAAAAATTCAGACTGGGGGGCTGGGGATGTGGCTCAAGCGGTAGCGCGCTCGCCTGGCATGCGTGCGGCCCGGGTTCGATCCTCAGCACCACATACAAACRAAGATGTTGTGTCCGCCGAGAACTAAGAAAAAATAAATAAATGTTAAAATTCTCTCTCTCTCTGTCCCCCTCTCTCTCTCACTCTCTCTTTAAAAAAAAAAAAAAAAAAGAATAATGGTAGATATGTCATCATACACTTGTCGAAACCAAGTAGTAATATTGGCTCATTGATTTTAACAAATGTACCCCAATGCAAGATGTAGCAGAAACTGTGGGGAGAGGAAAGAGCTGAAGGTATATATGGAAAATATACTTTCTCTTCAATTAACCTAAAAATTTAAAATCATCACTACAAATCAAGTCTATTAATAAAAAAAAATTCTTCTAAAGTCCCTAACAGAGAAAAAACCCAACCTATCAAATGAGATACCGCTTCACACTCCATTATGTAAGTCATAATCCAAAAAATGGGGGTAGGGAGGGAACTATTGGTAAGAATGCAGAGAAATGGCACAGTTACTATGGAAAACAATTTTGCAGTTCCTCAAAAAGAAAAACTTATGCACAAAATTAGCATTTAATCTAGCAATAGTAGTCTTAGGGAAACTTAAAAAAAATAAAAATACTCACTTAAAATACTTGTACATCACAGCAGCAAAATTCACCTTAGCTAAAAGGTGAAAATAACACAAACATCCATCAATAATGAATTAATAAACATAACGAACTAGGTATATCCACACAATGGAATACAACTCAGCCATAAAAATGAATAAAGTATTGCCAGGCATGATGGAACACACCTGTAATCTCAGTGATTAGGGAGGCTGAAGCAAGAGGATGGCAAGTTTGAGGATAGCCTCAACAAATCAGTGAGGCCCTAAAAACTTACTGAGACCCTCAAAATGAAAATAAGGGCTGGGGTTGTGGCGCAGTGGTAGAGCATTTGCCTAGCATGCGTGAGGCACTGGGTTCGATCCCCAGAACCACAAAAAAATTTTTAAAAAAATAAAGGTATTGTGTCCATCCAAAACTGAAAAATAGTTTTTAAAATTTTTAAAAATTAGGGCTAGGGCGGTGCCTAGAACATGCCTAGAACATTTGCCTAGAACATGTTAGGCACTGGGTTTGATCCTCAGCACCACATTAAAAAAATAAATAAAATAAAGGGAATGTGTCCACCTACAACTAAAAAGCATACTTATTTATTTGTTTGTTTGTTTATAGTTGTAGGTAGACACAATCCCTTTATTTTTATGAGGTGCTGAGGATCAAACCCAGTGCCTCACGTGTGCTAGGCGAGCACTCTACTACTGAGCCATAACTCCAGCCCCCTAAAAAGTATATTTAAAAAAATTTTTTTAATTAAAAATAAAGGGGCTGAGGTTTTGGCTCAGTGGTAGAGGACTTGCCTATCATGCGTGAGGCACTGGGTTCAATCCTCAGCACCATGTAAATGTAAAAACAAGGATATTGTATCCACCTAAAACTAAAAA